TATAGGGTAGCACTCTATGGCACAGCGGTGACATCTGTGATGGACCTTCTCTTGCTTCTCTTCTCTTCTTCTTGAGCTGCATGCAGTCTTGGGTCCATGTGGTCAATATGTGCCCGAGGTTCCACAGTCAGTTCCGGTCGTAAGAGAACTTCATTGTTTTAAGTGTTTGACACCGGGGTTTACTTCCCGTAACTGCCCAAACTGTAAGCAGCAAAACAGCCAAACTGTGCACTCGGGAGGTTCACCCAATTGTCAAACTGTACAGACTACAGAGACATCGGGTTCTGAAGTCCGAAGTAACAGGTCTCAAACAACGGTTGCAGGCTTGGGTGCTTCAGTTAGGCCCAGGTCGGGAAACTTCAGGGCGGGGAGGACTTTTCAGAGAAGCAATCCTTCCCCCTCCCGAGACAGTAATTGAGCCTCACTCACCTGACTCATCCCATACTATGACAAGAGGCATCGGCTAGTTTCTTTCTCCATAAATGATCTGGTGCGGGTCAAAACTCATCCGAGGTCTGACTCATCTACGAACTTTGCTGCCAAGCTCGCGCCTCTATACAGAGGCCCTTACCGTGTTGCTCGGAAGTTGTCTGATGTGAATTATAGACTTGCTGATGTGACTACGGGAAAGGATATGGGAGTGTTTCACGTGGTGAACATGGAACCTTTTCGTACATGGGATTCTGGGAATGTATCAAAAAGGGTGCCTGTGAATCCGCCTCCGGAATTTGAGGAGGACGATACTTTGTTGGGTGGTGAAAGCTCCTGTCATACAAGTCCTGGTGAGCCGTCCAGTGACTGTCCAACTGATAATGTCAGTGATCTCTTGGAATCTGACGCCAGAGTTTCTTTGTCTGATTTATTTGGTGATGTCACTGATGAGGGTGCGAGTGAGTGTGGTGATCCTGCCATTCTCTCTGATTTGACCGAGCGTCATGGTGATTGCGTTGATCAAAGGTATAACCTGCGACCTAGACTTGCACCCAGGATTACCTCAGGTTGGTCGACCAATAAGTGGACCAATCCATTCCACACAGACCGGTTGGATTTAAAATGAGTCTGTTAATGGAGTGTGGGGTGTACATATTTCTCTAAGTCTCCATAATGTTATAACAATATATCGTACCGTTATTGTTTTTGTTGACTGTTTTTAGGTTAACCAACACTGTTGTGTTTTGTTCTTATAAAAGTAAAATCTATCCTGTAAAATGTATTTTGCCATGGGTTTTTGAAATGCCTATGTGTTTTCTTTTCTGTTTGCTTGTCACATTTTCTTTATGTATTCTAGGACAAAGTGGTTTGGTGAGTTAAAAACTGTCATGTATGTTGGTATTTCTCATCATGTACCACTGGTTTTCTTTTTGAGGGGAGTATTTACAACTATTCATGTATGGAGTTGTTTATGTCCTGTATTTTCACAGTGCTGTTGGCTGAGGACAGCCAATTTGTTCCAGGGGGGACTCTGTAACGGCCACTAGAGCATTTACGGTAGTTTTGTGGCAGATTGACATCTGCGCATGTGCATAGCGTGTGTCTGTACAAGTTGAAAAGGTGAAGAGATAACTTGCTGTACCGACATCTTTATTTTATTTTATTCCTTTCTGTTTGTGACCCGAGTTGGATGCTTGTGTACTTTTTTTTCCTCACTCGTTCCCCCATTATGGCTTGTTAACTGAGGGGGGTTACAGAGTATTTGTTAAATATAGCTAACAAAATATATATTGTGTGTTTGATTGGTCCAGACGCTACAGAGTAATCAGTGACAACTTCCTCCTCAGATCCGCCGAAGGAAATTAAGCCGCTCGCAGCCAACGAGGGGCACTGATCCACATGTGTGAAGCACACAGGCCTTGGGCCGGCGTGAGTACACTCAATCCTGACCAAACCCCGCTGCTCTGCTGTTTCTTCCTCCGAGGCTCATGGGAGGGAGGAAATGGGAGAGCAGGCTGGGGAGGATTGCCTTTGTGAAAGAAGGTGATCCGTGAGCGAAGCAGGACAAGAGCAGTGAGAGCATTCAATCCCAGTGAGTGCAGCCTGGGCACTGCCTAGGCAAGCGACACACTCACTGTGCCTGTCTGTGTTATGCAGGGGTTCCTTGCATGAGCCACACTCGCATTGCGACATTTGCAACAATGTCGCTGTGAAATTTGCTCAGAAAATTTGCTATTTTTAATCCATCGGATGGCTGCAGGGCACGGCTTGCTCGGCGATATTCTGCTGCCAGGGGCTCTTCTACGCCGAGCAGCAGGCTGAGCTTATTGCTTTGGCTTCTTTCTTCAGAGTCAGTGAGGAGATGAGCTTCGTCACTGAAGGAGAAAAAATTTGACAAATGGCACTATAAGCAGACTTATATAGCAGCCGGCTCCTCCCCTTTTGGTGGGTTGAAGCGTAATTTGTTCGTGCAGTTACAAATTTGTTCATGCAGTTACTGCTGAGCGAATCATTGGTACAACCCTCCCTACTCTCCAAGAACTGTACTCATCCAGAGTGAGCAAAAGGGCTAAGAAAATCACTCTGGGCCCCTCACATCCACTCCCTCTTTGAACTGTTGCCATCTGGTCGACGCTACAGAGCACTGAGCACCAGAACGGCCAGGCACAGGAACAGTTTCTTCCCTCAAGCAATTCATCTTATGAACACTTGACAATGATTGTGGAACACACAACACTATTTATATACTTATACACAACACTATTTATACACTTATACACAACACTTTTTATATACTTATTTATCTAACACACATACTTAGTTTACATTTCGAACTTGCACATAATATACCTGTACATACAAAACTGTCTATTGTAATATACCTGTACATACAATTGTCAATTTGTATATTGTTATTCCCTATTTACTTGTTCAAATTTTTTTTCTTCTTTTATTATCTGTATTTTTGTCCTGTCACTGTCATTCTGTTGCACTGTGGAGCTTCTGTCACGAAAACAAATTCCTCGTATGTGTAAACATACGTGGCAATAAAGCTCATTCTGATTCTGATTCTGATTCTGATGAACAAATCAGGCTTCAGTATCAGAGTAAACAGGAGTTTCCACATAAACGTGTTAAAAGCTTATGGGCAAAGACCCTTCGATATGGGAACGTAATGATACATCCAACAGATTAGAAGAACACAATAATATAGTGCTATATGAGTTCATATTAAAAGTTGTTTATAAACTGTCTTTAAAGGTCTAAAACAATATTGCTTTCACCATATTGTAATACCTTTGAAAATTAGCAGTAAGATTGTCATCTGTTTGCAATGCATGTTTTTCAGGAAAAGCTGGCCATGTGTTATATTGCATGTTAGCCATTAAAAATTTTTAAGACACGGGTCTTTACATTCATGTTATATTGAATCTTTCCTTTAAGACGAAATTACAACCAAAACACTAACAAAAATGTTGATAAGTCTTATGTTGAATTCTATTTTAGCTAGCTACAGTTAGGCTATATATAAGATAAGAGATGGTAAATTCTTAACAAGCTGAAATGTCCTATTTGTGATTAAAAAGGATATTTGAAGGTATAATAAACTCCTGGACTAAAATGCATAGCCTAATCCATAAACAATTAAATTGTTTACAAATATAAATACTTGACCAAAATGTGTTGGTCTAACTGACCAGTGATTTTTTTTTTGTATAAAAAAAAACCTTGTAAAAAAAACTGTTGGCACAATTAGGCTAGTTTTAAATTATTTTTACTATTATTAACAGTGTTGGGCAAGTTACTTCCAAAATATAATACATTATATATTACTTATTACTTCCTTTTAAAAGTAATTAGTTACATTACAATATTACAGTCTCTGAATTGTAATGCGTTACACTACTTTTAATTTACTTGTGAGTTACTTTCACTTTCAAGCACAAACCGCAATTAGCCTACATTCAGAAATAATAGCGGTAAATAAAGCGGAATGTTTAAATATTAAATAATATTAAAATATTATGAATGGGACACAATAAAACCGTGTGGACACATTAAAATTCTCATTAGGGGTTTTTAAATATCACAATTTTTAATCATGAATCATTACTTTGTAAAATATGTTTATAAAATCTTTTAAGAAATGTAAAATAATGGTTAAAGTTTCACTGTATGCCTCTAGTATTTTAATGCTTTTAACTTGATGGTTACACTTTACATTTACAGCCAAGTAACTTAATCTAAATTTTGGTGAAAATTTTAATAAAGTTTTTTTTTTTTTTTTTTAAATGCATGAAACTAATATTAATATAAAGATGACATTTTAAGAGTTTGGATCATGCGTTTTAAATTCTATTTTTAAAATATGGCTTTTTATATTCGGACATACTTATTTGTCATTGATCAAAATTAAAACATTCTGAAGTCACATTCTGAAATCAAAATTATTATATTTTTTTTATTACAACACTTGTAGAAACATACAGAAACAGGGAAGCGAGACATGAATATATTCCAACAAAAAGCAATTATAAAAATAAAAACAGAAAACAAATATTCTGTATTTGCATGTCAAATTAATTATTATCGATACATAAAAGTGCAAAAATAAACTTACATTCTTGTAGAAAAGTTGTCATAATACATCAAAAGTTTGGCACTCTTTTTGTTATTAGTAAGTCTAAGAGATGAAACAAGAGAGTCCAATTCAACAAGAAAAATGGGGAAAGACAAAGGAGATTTAAGCCATTTTTGCTTATGAATGAAGAATTTTGCATTCAATATAAGAAAATTAACAACATATTCAACAGATAATAGCTTTGGATTTTCATAATAAAAGATAACATCTTTGAGGACGAAGGTATGGGACACATTTGTAAGGTTAGAAACATAGGTGCTTAAGTCAACCCATAATTTGTTGGTAACACCACAATCAAAAAACAAATGGGCAGCTGTTTCCTCAACAAAACCACAAAACGAGCAAGATTTCTGAAATCAAAATAGTGATGCGGAAGCGCAGTTAAGTGACGGTGTGAGTGAGGTAAACATCCTCCCACTAACGCTTTTTCAAATTTGTGAGGGAAAGTGAGTCCGTGCGGAGCGAGAGCGCGTCCCACAATGCACTCGCCGCTCAGCGGGAACCCAAAATGGCGAGAGCGTGTGAGCCAAATCAGTTGTTTACCATAGTGTAAAACACTTAATACATTAGATTCATCTTGCACAAGCAGCACCACCTCGATTTACAGCGGAGCTCCTGCTGACCGTTTATGGTGTAGTTCTTTGTGTTTGTGAGGCATTGTAACCCGGGAAAGTGGCCGAATGAGGTAAGACAGATCCAGACAGGATTCAATCTGTTACAATAAAACAAGGGGGTGTGCGGGGGACTTTCATCTCTCACTTTCCAGCAGGTAAAAATAACTGGGTTCAAACATACGTTTGCTGATTCCAATGAAACAAACTCTTTAGGCTTTTGAACGGGAGGCTTTTATTTGAAGTCACATTGTTTTGAATGAGAAATCCTGTTAGCTCTCTCCAGCTATGCTGCTAACAAAAGAGGCTTTTTGCTTCCTCTGTCATTCTGTTTGGGCGCTTCACTGACCAGACAATACAAAGTGCACTCAGTCCTAAAAATATCCTACACTGCTTTTACATGTGAAATGCCCCTAAAACCTGCACCAGGGTAGTTTGATACTACATTTTCAACGTTTTTTGTTTATTTGAGCATGTGCAATTGACTTTTTTGCGTTAGTGTAAGCAAAAGTGTGGTTGAATCATGTTTTTCATGAGGTGTTTTGCTCATTTGATAGAGACTTAGCAAGTGCAGATAACCTGGCCGCCCATCAAAAGTCAACTCCAAATCACCAACACAAGTCACCAGTGCCCTTGTCACAATTTCCCCTGAAAGATGGGCTGACTGACACGGCCAGACTCGCCAGCAAGTTTGAAGAAGGGCAGGATGTCCTGGCCCGATGGTCAGATGGCCTCTTTTACCTGGGAACTATCTCCAAGGTGTGTAAGAGATAATGTACAATCAGACGATAATTATATCAAAATATAAAACACAAATGTGTTGTTTTGAGTGTATTATATGAAAAGAAATGGACAGCATACTGTAAATTAAAAGTATCACAGCTATGTAGTAAATCGGCTGCCTGGGCCAACAGTCATTCATACAGTTTAGTGGCCATTATACAAAAATGCATGACCTATCATTATCATGTACTCTACGGTGTTAAAGAGTCCATCAAATGGGTTCTAGAAGTAAAAATCCCATTTTCTCTATAGGGAAATACATTTTAAACAATAAAGATAAACTGTTAAATACAGACTTAATGTGAGCTACGAGGTTGTCAATCAATGGTATATGCTTTTATTGAAGACAATATTTGCAAATTTCAGCTTATTTTTTAAATAATTGTTTAACAGCAGAATTCCAGGTGACAACTACATTACCCACGATTCTGCAAAATAATCCACCAATAAGAGATTCACTAAACATTAAATCACACCAAAAGAGCTCTGTAGCACCTACCCACTCCCATGAAGCACTCTGAATGACGCAGTAGTCAATCTCCCTGCCCTTTTAAAATAAATATTTGTCTACATATAGGGATGCAGCGATTAACCGGTTTCACAATTAACCGCGCTTTAAAATGTCACGGTTAATTAATCGTAAAGGCTCCGCTACACCGAGTGTTTCTGTTGCACAGAATGGAACAGTTGCAACTTGTGCAAAACGAAAACAAACTTACACTAGCGGTGCACCAGCTTTAAATGCTGTGCTTATTAGAAACACGGAGGCTACTACACACACTAGATTAACTATGCCAGACGAATTGATAGACATGATTTTCTCAGGCCACATGTAAAATCATAGGAATTATTATAAAAAATTATTAAAATGAATACGTATGGATGACGGTTGATTACGATGATAGTTCAGTTTATTGCCCTCATTACAAACTGAAAACACTAAATACTTTTGTGATCTATTTTCATTAGTTATTTTCAAAAGAAATACTGACATGGATGCTTACAGAGCAGAGGTCACCTTTTTAATTCCAATTGGAGAGATAGACATTTGTTTGTCTTTATTATTATTATTTTGTGCTGTATTATTGGTTACTGTGTTATTTCTGTTTCTAAATGCAGCAATAAGAGTGTTCATGTGATTTTATACGTTAATAATGTTGTGAAATTAATAAATGCATAATAATCGTCATAATCGTGAAACCGTGATTATTCCTCAGACAATAATTGTACCAACAAAATCTATAATCGTTGCATCCCTATCTACATATGCATATTTTGCAATATACATAAAATACATTGTTGCTACATATATAATCAACATCTTAAATCAATAGTTTTATAACTGTCGTTTTTAATTTGATTTTCATTTGCGGTGCTTTTTGGGATTGTAGTTCTTTTCCTCATTAAAGCCATTTAAATCTTTTCAGATCATTTTTAGATCATTTAGTCTTGTACCTCTGTCTTTTTGTCTAATATTCAAATACTTTTTTGCCTCAAAATCAAGGTTTCTAAATGTTGTGATTCGCCTTGTAGTGGGTGGACATTAATACTAGGGATGAGCATTTCAAGCAAAAATAATATTCGATAATCACTGGGTATCGCTGGGTTATTCGAAAATCGCACCCCTCCCCCACATGCACGCATATAGCCTATCCACCTTTTTCTTGTCGTAAATATGGGCGCGGCCATTTGTAAATTCTATGGGTCTGGCTTCCGGTCTCATCTGCGTCCACTCTGTCCAGCTATTTTTAGCAGAACAAAACAGTTCCTTTTGCTGCTTGATATTGAAAGTTGGTGTGTCTTATCATATTATTTTAATGTATTATCTTAATTATGAACACACTGGTTTGTAGTGCAAACAGTTTTACCGTTTACTGCACGTTGTTATTCTCCTCGTTATTTACCTATAGCGGCTAATCTTCCCACCCCTATCCGGAATGCTGAATCCCTGACAATTTTCAAGCGACAGCTGAAAACTCATCTCTTTCGAAGCTACTTGACTTCATCATCATCATTATAAAAAAAAAAAAAAAAAATCTCTCTCTTTATTTATTCCTTCTCTTTCTAGCTTGTACTTATTTGAACAATGTCTAGAAACTTGGTATTACAAGCACTTCCTGTATCTGTTTGCCTCTTTAAGAAGAATCGCTTTATGTATCCCCCAATTGTAAGTCGCTTTGGATAAAAGCGTCTGCAAAATGACTAAATGTAAATGTAATGAACCGGAAGTCTCACCCATAGGCTTACTTCCGCATTGAAGAAAAAGGTGGATAGGCTACCATAAACAGAGAGTGGGAGAGAGGCCATTCATGCTTTCAATCTGTATGATAACAAACTTTAAAAAATGAGCATGATGTTTCCGCATCGAGTCTGTTTTTGCTGTGCTGCACGTGCTGAATTAAAGTGACAGCGCAGTAAAATGTTCGCAGTAAAAAAGAACATGGATTGACACGGAAGTGTAGTAATTACACCATAAATGCATAAAATGAAAGTGTACTGTGTTTCACAGACAACACACAGGCCTATGGCTTTTTTTGGCTAGGTTTAAAATAAGGAAAAGAGCACTTTTAGATAAACAAGGCAATAATAGATACACTCGTGGAAATATGAAAACAATGTTCTTTATGAACTGCAGGATTGCTTGCAATAAAGATTGAAATGCAAAAAAAAAAGGCACGAGAGTCGACTAGGTGCGTTATTGGTGGCGCCACACTGGTTACACGAAAGCGTGCTTCACCACCGCATCAGCACCAAAAACATGGGGATTTTTTTAGACTATAATCGCACAGCCTATTAGATATTCTGTAATTAAATCAACTAATCGAGTATTCGAAAATCATGACCCATCCCTAATTAATACACCCTTTAATTGTACTATAATCACCAGAAAGGTTCTTTATCTAGAGAGTAATCAGAACTTCTCTTAATTTATGCTTTCCACAGATAGATAAACATAAGCATCGCTGCTTTGTGATTTTTGAAGATCAATCTAAATCTTGGGTTCTGTGGAAGGACATTCAGACAGGTAAATGCAAACTGTTTTATATTCTTTTTTTATTTAAAAAAATGCTGATGCCCTGTAACCAGTCTATTGTGTCTTGATGGCATCTCTGAGGTGGGTTTGATAATGAGATCTTGAACGTCCTGACTTAGATTTATGCACAAAATCCACTGACTGATTCTAATACTGGTTCTCTTTTGCTATAAAATATTTCTACTTTCCTTCTGATCATTTTAATAGAAGATTGGTCAGTTCTTCTATTATGCTGCTGCTTTCATGCTGTCTGACTTGTGGTTTTGCTGTTTGCCGCCTTTTGGTTTCTCTTCCCTATCTCTTTCATTCAGCCTGAGTTATCTCTTAATTTGTCCCTGACAGTTGACAGACTTCAGAGTCTCCGGGCTTACACAAACCGTAAGTCCCACATCGAGCCAGGAGACAAGAATAGGGAAGGTACCTATGGCATCTGTCGCTGTATCTCTTGGTAACAATTCAACAAGGCGTTAATGCATACGCATAAAAGAAATGTTCTCATAGTTTTGTCTTTAGTTCTTATTTGTTTCAAGTGGCAGTTGCAGTGAAGTATTTCATGGTGGTGTTCACCATCAGTGACGGCTGGCAAATACTATTCCTCCTTTTGTGATCTTAAGTGGTTTGAACAATTTCCATTAGAAGTTCAGAAATGTTCTGGAACAACAACCCCCTTTAGTCACTTTTAGACCCAATAAAAGCAGTCTCTTCACCTCTCATAAATGTAGTCACTGGGTCTCATTCACTAAGTATGCATGCGCATAAGTTTGCATATAAATGTTTTCACAAACAAATAATGATTGACCTAAAACTTTTGTACTAAACTTATAAAAAAAAATGTTGGAACAACTGAAACTACACATGCAAAAAGCACACTCTGGGTGTTAAGATGAAATTTATATTTTGTCTTAAATATATTTTCTCATATAAAATGAAAGAATAAGAAAAGCTGTGTAATCGATTGAGCTTCAAGGTTTCTCTAAATAACAAAGCAGATATATGTGTATGTACAGCTGGCTAATGAGAGGTCTGTAATCTGAGTCTATAAAAGACGTTTATTGTGTTTTAACTTGCTTTTTAGGAAGGCAAGGATCTAGAGTGACTAAAGGCTGTAAAAGAAAGGTTGTTCGTAAAGCCCTTATATGGAGATGGTTAGAGCGCTTTTTATTCAAATGGCCAACCTCTGACACGCTTATTAACCTGTCGCTTATTTAGAATGCTCCAAATTTCCAAAACATTGGAATGAGGTTATGAACAAGTTCATTTGCGTACATACGTCTTTTAAATTAGGTGGAATTTTTTTTAATGAGAAGTTCTCCTGTGTGTACAAATATGAAATAATCCATGCAATTATTAATGAATGAGACCCACTGTTCCCAGCTGTAATGGATAAAACAGTCGCGTACACCTGCACACTTGTTAATTTTCTTTGTTCCTTCTTTCAGGGGACAGTGGAGGGGAAATGCTCTGCTCTATATGCCAGAATGAAAGCTCCGAGCCCCCCAATGAAATAGTTATCTGTGACAAATGTGGACAAGGTAGACTTCCACTATTCTACTAAATCTGAGTCACTTCACTCAATGATATTAGGGATTGAGTTCCCTATTTCACCGCAGACAATATCTCTTCCATAGGATACCATCAGCTATGCCACGCTCCCATAATCGACCCCAGTGTCATTGCCTCTGATGACAAATGGCTGTGCAGACAGTGCGTATTTGCTACAACAACAAAGGTTTGTTGATGACACGTTCACTCCCATTGAAGGAATATGTCGAAAGTGCATAAAAGCCAGAGGTGTACCTCTTCATCATGTGATGAGGTTTTAGTATGTAGACCAGATGCTGCATATTTAAGCATGCCAAAAACTTCTCCAGACCCAGTGTTTTCATAAATTAATGGACCTGTAGGAGGCCACCAAGCCGCGCATCTTTTAAAGTTTATTCCAAATATTGGGTGCTTCTCAAACGAAAGGCTGCATCCTACCGAGGCTGCATGGTGATGATACACGGGGCAGCTTTTCGAGCAATGTTGCTGGGCAGTGTCGCAGAGCAATGTTGCTTTAAGCCCAATTTATACTTCTGCGTCGAACCTACGCCGTAGCCTACTCATAGACGCACACCCTACGCTGTAGCCTACGCCATAGCCTGACGTGCACCTCTCCAAAAATCTAACAGTGAAAGTGACGTGACATGTGGCCAAGTATGGTGACCCATACTCGGAATTAGTGCTCTGCATTTATCCCATCCAAAGTGCACACACACAGCAGTGAACACACACACACCCGGAGCAGTGGGCAGCCATTTTTTTGCTGCGGCGCCCGGGGAGCAGTTGGGGGTTCGGTGCCTTGCTCAAGGGCACCTCAGTCGTGGTATTGAAGGTGGAAGAGAGCACTGTACATTCACTCCCCCCACCTACAATCCCTGCCGGTACGAGACTCGAACCCGCAACCTTTGGGTTACGAGTCCGACTCTCTAACCATTAGGCCACGACTTCCCCTAGTCCCTAGTCACGACTTTAACAGCACGTCAATTCTACGTGGACCGCAAGCGCTGTGATTGGTCTGCTAGAACCCCTCCATCCATATGTACTTGTGTTTTGTGTATGTTTATGTGCACTTTAATATATTTTAATGTTACACCTTCTTATATAAAATAAAACAAAGCAAAGAACAAGTGTCTTATCATTTATTATACTACATAGCATTATACATCAGTAGTTGTCCGCGACAAACAATGTTGATCTGCCGTTGAACAAGTCCTTGTGGAGATTGAAAGTATGCCATCTTCTCCTGTTCAGTTGTTGTCTCCTTTTTGTAGTTTTAAATAATGATTTAATGATTTGATATTTATTTGCCGCCGTCACTGCTATTAATGCTTCTCCGACGAGCCGCTGCTTCTTCGGCTTTTACCGTGGTACTGCGGGTTACACCAGCAACATGCCCGTGGACACTGCAGACTAGCGGTTTGCATGTGTACTGCACGTTGATGCGGACAACGACGCAGAAGTATAAATGAAAACTGATGCATAGCCTACGGCGTAAAGGCTACGGTGTAGGTCTGACACAGAAGTATAAATCAGCCTTTAGATAGAAATTTGTTGCCCATTCTCAATGGGAAAGTGCCCAAGCAACATCGCTTGGCGACATTGCCCGGTAACATTGCTCAAAAAGTTGCCACTTTTACATTATTGGCAGTTTAGTGTTAAGAGTAATTTACACCAAAACAAAAGATAATATCTATGCTTTCATGTCGAAAAACATTATTTTTGTCTTACATTTCATAATAAATTCAGACAAGCTCAGTACTGACTTGTTTTTTTGTCGGTTTATTTTCATGTATTGGAAAGTGTAGAAAGGATTGTGGGTGATTGAAGGTCGCGAAGGATACATCCCATGTATCCTTCAAATTCAGCTGAATGAAGGACACAAAACAAAGGCTGCCTTCCAAGGATATTTACGATTGAGATGGCCTTCAGTGACATTTGATGACGTGGCATCCGAGCCTTCTGTTTGAGAAGCACCCATAGTTGCAACTGATGTGGACCACAACATTCTTTCTTGCATAAGGGTTGTGGATGTGGGATTAGTTATATAATATATGGAATATAAAAACACTTTGTATTCTTCTGTGTGAGGTACAAATTTAACCTTTTGCTGCAACTGCTGGGTGAATTAAGAAAAAAACAATGATATGCCTGTTTTGAAAGACATCTCCAATGCTCACAAAGACTACATTTGTTTTAAATCAAAAATATAGGAAAAAGAATGAAATAATAAAAAAAATTATATTTTAATATGTTTTAATTTATTCCTGTGATGACAAAGCTACATTTTTTAGCAGGCATTACTCCAGTCTTCAGTGTCACTTGATTCTTCAGAAGATTTGGAGTTCAAGAAGCATTTCTTATTATTATCAATGTGGAAAACAGTTAAGCTGCATAATGTTTTAGTGGAAACCATGATACTTTTTTCAGGTTCTTTGCTGAATAGAAAGATAAGAAAAGAGCAGCATTAATTTTAGAATTTATTTTGTAACTATCTAAAATTATTACTGTGTCTTTTGATCAATTCAATGCATTCTTGCTTAAAAAATCATACTGATCTCAAACGTTTGAACAGTAGTGTATATGGAGTTAATATTCATGATTATGGTCTAATATAATTTTATATCTGTACAAATTAACAAATTCTATCCAAAAAGATTTTTGTAGGATGTTGAGCTGTAGAGTAGAATCTTGTTCTAGGGGTCCAAATTGAACTTTTTTGCCACACCCACCAATTTCAATTTACAATAAATATAACCTTTTTTTATGCATCCTTGCTGAATAAAAGTATTGAATATTACTAACCCCAAACTTTTGAACAGTAGTGTAAAATACAGCCAACACCATAGAAATCCTGGGACACTCTACATGTCAGTACATGTAATTCTACACTTTGCTGGTATGACTAGAAGGGATATGTAAACCCTGTTATTTTTATAAATCTCCAGAGTTCTGTCTCCACCTTAAAATTGAGTGACATGCATACTAGAGGCATGTTTATATATCATGAATCGTTGTGGTTGTATCTATGAAATCATAGAGAGGCGGTGCACTGAAGAAAGGGCCAAATGCCAAAGCCCTACAGGAAATGAAGCAGTCTCTGCCTTACGCCCTTGAAGATTTAGTGTGGGACCAGGGCCACAAGACCAACATCCAGCAATGCTACTGCTACTGTGGAGGGCCTGGCGAGTAAGTTCAACACATAGACACCGTTGCTGAAAACACTGTTGGTTGATATAGTAGTTCTTAGGATAAACCCCACTAAGATCAGGCATTGAATCATAGGTTGCAGAGGATTGTGGGTACAGAATAGCCCCAGCAGGAAGTAGAATTGTTATGACTGTCTTTACTCCCTCAGATGGTATCTGAAGATGTTGCAGTGTAATAAGTGTAAGCAGTGGTTTCATGAAGCCTGCATCCAGTGTTTTCAGAAGCCTATGCTCTTTGGAGACAGGTGAAGTACTGCTCTCCAATCATTTGATTAAAGTGAAAGCCAGTGGTTGAAGTCTTGTCATTTAATTAACGTTTTCCGTCTTTATTCTCAGGTTCTATCTATTTATTTGTTCCGTTTGTAATAGTGGACCAGAGTACCTCAAACGTTTGCCTCTGAGATGGTGAGTTTTGAGCTGTTTTCACACTTTCACAGTGTGAAAGTCACCTCAAGTGATTTTGAAGTCAAAAATAAAAAATTAAGTTGATGTTTGAAAGTGATGCAGAATGATTGTCAACACTAGGTTTTTTGTTTAATTTAATTGTTCATGCTTATGTTTTCTTTTTTTCCATTTAAGATTGCATTACATTATAATGTTGTTTTGGCTAAATTCACTTGTAGCATTTAAAATGATTTATTTGGTCTTAAGTGCCTTTTTTTATAGCATTTAGTAAATAGTGTATAATTTTAATATAAGCCATTTATTGTTATTTTGATTATTAGCCAAAACACAAAAACGAAAATCCATTTTTCATACTGTACATTATAATGTTGTGTTGTCCAGATTCACCTGTAGCATTTAAAATAATTAAGAATATAATAAAAATTAACATAACCTATTTTAATTTATTAGGACAATATAGTATTTAATATCAGTCATGTGTTGGTTATCTGCCATAACATAAAAGTAATTATCTTCTTATTGATATCGGCTAGAATTTCTTCATGACCAACTTTTTTGTTTAAATAGTTTCACAGAGGATTTTTTTTGTTCCATCACATGTGGTCTTCATTCACAGGGAAGATGTTGCACACCTGAGCCTCTATAACCTGAGTGTAATTCATAAAAAGAAATACTTTGACTCAGAGCTTGAACTGATGACTTACATCAATGAAAACTGGGACAGACTTCAGCTTGGCGAGGTATCGGTCTGCCTAGTTGTTGTAATTGCATTAGTTAATCAGCTAGTGTTAATGTCTCTTTATTTAATTTATGGCTTTGTACCTCCAGGTTGCAGATACACCAAGAGCAGAACGATATGAATGCATTCTGGAAGCACTTAACAGCAACCTAAACATGTGAGTTTATCATTTTTGCCCATCATTGGCATTTTACCTTAATACAGTAAAGCTTGAATTAATTTATCTTGTCCTTTTGCCCTGGTGGGTTTCATGAGATCAAAATCAAAGGCAGGAAGGCCACCAAACCCCCTCATTCATCCAGGTTAGTCATCGCTTATTTAATTCTATTGGCTCTACTGTGGTGAACGTATCTTATGCTGAACTCAAAGCTACAGTTTAATTGTTTTTTATTTGCCTTAATTTTGTAATTGTTTTAGCACTGTCACTAATGGAGTGAAGAAAGGAAAGAGGAAGCATCACACACACTCTTTAGAGACGTTGGCCAAACTGAGAAGATCAAGTGAACTTTTGGCACAGGTAAATAAGTGAAATAAATGTTTATATTTGCTGGTTTTGATTTATGGTTTTGTTAATCACCTAAAAAGCACATCGTTTAATTAATGTGAACATTAACATTTAGTTTTTAACTTTTTTTTTTTTTTTAAATGAAGAATGATGGGAAGTTTCCAACTCTAGACAACAACTCACTGGACCTGATGGCTTCAAAAAGGTGATACAGGGATTAAAACAAATTGCTTTCTAGAAATTATGCTGAATTATAAAAATCCACCTTTCCCCCCCTACATTTTTAGTGCTAAAAGTGAAAAATCTTTGCCTTCATCAAGTACCTCAGATGTTGAATCTGTTGGTGCCACCAGCACCAGTGAAACTACCTCAACCACCCTCTCAAGGCAGTCCAGGTGATTTATTTTTCATTTCATTTTCATGACAATTTTCATTTATTCATCCACAGTACTGTGATTATTAGGGGTGTAACGATATTCAAACCGAACCAGAAAACTGCGATACATCACCTCAATATGTAATTGCGTCATACCAAGAGTACCGCCCCCGCCCCCCCACAGCCCTGACCCACTTGAGGTTGACCCCACTTGCACCACGGCTCATCTCAATGTAAAATGTGGTTTGTTGAAAATAACAATGCGTAAAATAGACCTATTGAATTCCCTCATTATAACAGCAATGATCAAAAAACGTGGACAAATGACACGGAATGCACGCTAGTATACCAGTCATTTACACCTTTGTCACCCTGGTTTTGAAAGTGCGCAAACGCAGGTGAGACATGAACAGCTCACACTATCTGTGTTTAAACTAAACTCATTTGCACATGTTTTGAAGCCTTGTCAGTTGAAACATTCAAGCAAAGAATAAGAGCTTGAATAAGCTGTTTGAAGATATATGTGTGTGTGTGTGTGTGTGTGTGTGTGTGTGTGTGTGCGTACTTGTTTGTAGCTTATACAGACACACAGACTGCTCAAATTTACCGGTGGGTGGTTTTAATTCACCAGCTGTCGCGTCATTAACAGAAGTATGAATGAATGAATGGTGCATTTATATAGCGCTTTGTGTATTGCTGTACACCCAAAGCGCCTTACAATCATGTGGGGGGGGGGTCTCTCCACCACCCGTGTGCAGCATCCACCTGAATGATGCGACGGCAGCCACAGGACAACGGCGCCAGTGCACTCACAACACACCAGGTGGAGAGGAGAGAGAGCCTTTACGAGAATTGCCATGGGATTTTTAATGACCACAGAGAGTCAGGACCTCGGTTTATGGTCTCATCCGAAGGACGGTGCTTTTTGACAGTATAGTGTCCCGTCACTATACTGGGGCATTAGGACCCACACAGAGCACCCCCTGCTGGCCTCACTAACACCTCTTCTAGGGCTGCACAATATATATAGAAATTATCGAAATATCGTAAATGTAAATATCACAATATGCATATCGCAAGGGCGTGCGATATCTGACAACTCTTTGCCGTCTCGTCTTGTTGTCTGACTCACACCTGAAGCGCGGGCACACACAGAGAGACACGTTTCACACAGCGCGCGAACACCGAGTTGATTCGTCTTTTGCATCTCCTCATAAATGAATGTAAACGGCTGAGAAAGAAATCGGATGTGTATCATTATACTGGATCCGTGCAGTTGGATTTAAAGGGACAGCAGCCTATAAATACATGCTGCTTAATATGTCACTAATGTTAATCAAACAGCAAAACAGCTATAACAAAGATTAATGTAAATTTAATTCATACAGTGAACACTATGCAGTGTTATTTTACACTTAATTATTACATTTCTGTATCTGAATACTACTGTTTATTTGATCTATGCTTGTAAATTGTGTATTTCTTTTTCTTTCTTTTTTCTTTACTCACTGTTCAGTTGCCTTTAATCATGTTTGAACTTTCTCAGACTATAGTTTTTGCTGTGGTATATGAAGTAGTACTTAAAGTGTGTGGAAAGCAAAGTTACAATGATATAAAATTAGTCATTAATTTTTTTGTTTGATATGTTCACATTGATGTTAAAATAACATTTTCTGATTTGTGACATTACTTTTTATGTAATGCTAAAACACTGCTGGTCACTTTCAGAAGTT